GCCAGCTGTCAATCCCGCAGCTGGGTGGATCTCGACAGCAATGCCGGGATCCGTCCCAGCTGCTGCGTCTCAGTATATAGTGAGCTGTAGCTCGCGGTATACTGAGCTTTGGGTGACGGGAGGACGCTAGTTTGTGTCCTCCTGTTACCCTTAGGAGAACTATAGCGAAAAGCACTGACCCCATAGTTCTCCTTTAAAAAGGGATTTTTAAAAGTGACTCCTTGCAGTGGGGCTGCACCCGCATTGCATGGGTTAATGGGTCATTATTTTTCCCCTAGGGAGCAAATAAAGAAGATGCACTCAGCCGATTCTTGATCCTGCAGCAGTGACCGCTCACCTGTATCAAAAGTGTTGAGTGAAGTCCGAATATATCAACATGAATCTTGATCCATCGCCGAATCTGTAGAAACTCACCGTCCAATGGCAGCACCTTCCAGAAAGCGTATTGCGGTGTATATTTTAGACACGTGCGATTTGTTTCGTTTTGTTCTGAATTGAAATTCGGACGCAATTTCGGAAATTCGGATGTATCCAAATTCCGAATGACAGATATAACGAATGCAAACGAATCCGAATTTCCGATTCCGAAAATCGTTAGCGGTAGTCTGTATGAAATTTCGGTGCAGCAAAGTGACATTTGAGAAGAATTTTTTTTTTTCTCCCCTGAAATGTCACTTTGCTGCAGCGAAACGAAACAAAATGTTTTACAGATTACCGCTAACGCAGTGGCGTAACAACCACCATAGCGACCCAGGCCTGGGTCGCTATGGGATCCTCACTGGCGGCTGAAGACGAGGCTGGACCCCGGCAGTGGAGGAGGAGGCAGGGCCCGTGGTCGGCAGCAGGGGAGGAGGTGGGGCCCGGTGACGAAGAAGGAGGAGGGAGCGGGGCCCATCAGCGACCAGGGCAGCCATCAGGGGGGGTACGGACGATACTCATGTAAGGAGCCCGGGCAACCTGGGGGGCCCGCCCGGGACCCTTACATGAGTATTGGCTGACGGTGAAGAGCGAGGAGGTGGACTGGCCCTAGCAGCGCAGAGGAGGCCTGGTGTGCAGGTAAGAGGAGCAAGGAAGGAGGGAGGGGGATGCAGCCCTGACCAGCCTACATTAGAACCCCTTCAGAGCCCACTATAGACAGTCTCAGATGGGCTGTGCAGCATCTATGGTGGGCTCTGCAGGGTCACTCTAAGGTGAGTCCAGCGCGTCACTAAGCCGTGCGTCCAGCGGGTCACTAAGCCCTGAGTCTAGCGGGTCACTTAGCCCTGCGTCCAGCGGGTCACCCAGCCCTGCGGCCAGCGGGTCACCACGGCATGAGTCC